AACAATGGTCACCCCGGATGCACTCCGGGTCCTAACTCGAATGTGCATGACTCCTCACCGTAAATGCGGGCACCAGTGTTGGAATAGTAAGATCCCGTGAAGCTGAAATGTTTAATTGAGACACCATCGGCCGAAACTATGTTCCAGGGAGATTCGCAATCTACAGAATCGAATGCCGCACGAAAATCAATGAAGCAGACTGCTGTGGTCTGTTGAAACTTGTGTCGACGTAAAGTGGATATTTGTTCAACGCAATCCACACCCGGGCGGAACCCCTCCTGGTTAGGACTAGTGCGTGCGTACTTTGTTTCATCAAAAGCTGTGAAAAATCTTGGCCGCCACATCAAGTAAACTGATGCCTCTCGTTTTCGCGCCGTGATTTGTTTCCCTTTTTAGAGAAAGTTAGTAAAATCGATGTGGTCCAGTCACTCAGGTAAATTTCTATTTCCCAGAAGAAGAAAAAAACAATGGAGAGAGTTAAACATCGTTGGAGAACACTTTGCGTAGATCTTCTCGAGTATCTCATCCTCACCTGGATATTCTTTCAGCTCCAGATGGTTGGTAATATCTGAGGCTTCTACTGATAGCGGAGCGCAGCTGTCTTCGTATGGCGATGAGGACGCATACGGAGGTTAGGTTTGAATGTGATTGACAAGAAGACTGGAGTGTTCCACCTATCGGGGCATTTATCTTTCGCATCAGAAATGAGCTAGCCGGAGACACTGTGCAACACGGACTGGGTGACTTGTTTCTTACCAGATGCCGATCAATAAGTCGGAAGAGTGTCACCGTGTTGCCCCGGTTGGCTGCTGCCTCATTTTTGTCACCATTTCATTCCATTCGTTGTGTCTATCGTTTCTAGTTGAGCGTGTTGCTTGTCATCTGAGATCACGATTAGTAGAGGATTGTGCTAGGTGTGCCTCTGGCCGTATTACCTAACTGAATGGTGTGTTCGGATATTCAGTCCTTCAGACGACTTGACTTAGTATCTAATTCGTGTAGAGCAGCTTGTTGTACTGACGAATTCACCCTGGTCCACTG